GATAAAAACTTTTACTGTCCACTTACCTCGGTGAGATTCGTGAAATAACATATGAAAACAATAACATTATAACCATCATAAAATCATATACACTTTGTAACATAACACATATTATACTTTTGCACTTCAATAATCAGACAACAATTCTCATCTTTTATCAGCCTACTAGTATCTATAGGGATCCATAAGGGGTCCCCGCTACACGTGAACCATTAACATTAATAACCTGATTCTAGGGCCGTCCCCATACCCTGTCTGGTATGGACGCCAAAACCATAAACCTCAATACCCGGTCCGGTATGAGAGTGAAACGGGCCGTCTCCATACCCCGTTCGGTATGGGCGCCAAAACAAATAAGCTCTCCATACCCCGTCCGATATGAGAGACCACGTTCCTGGTAGGGTTCTCTATGGATCCGGTCCGTCCACCATCTCCTAGGATATCTAGTTAGGCTGTCCACATTATCCATTTATCAATTTACATAACCTTTTTCCCATTTTCCTTGGTCTTAATTATCCAATCATACACAAACACGTAAACCAATAATGAATACCAAACAAAATAACACAACATCGGGTTCACCATAATTCAAACCATAAAAGAAATCATGATTCATGCATACAAAACCATAAAATAAATACATCAAATACCATACTGCATTTAAAGCTGAAAAATAGATCAAACAGCACTTGACCGAAAATATATTAGATTCGGACTCCATTAGTAACCTTAATCAATTATACATATCTATTAAGTCATAAAATACCGTTTTATCGTTTATTAACCTTTAATGCCGTGATAGGAAATAGGGTGAAAGATCCTTACTTGTTTCGGGGTCTGGAATCGGCTCTATAATGCACCTACGGCCTGTCCCTAAATTTCATGAATTTTCTCTAGAAAACTAAAACGCACTATCGGTACCTGCACGTGTCCCAAAAAACCCCAACTCAGACCCAGGGCTCCTTTTCGGCCAATATCGAAATTCTGGCACGGCGGCTCCGTCGTGCTCCGGTGACGGCACTGCCGCCCGCGGTGGCAATCTGCCTCGAGTTGGCCGTTTTCGGCCAAATTCGGCCAAACTTGCATTGGTTCCTGTGATAAAACAACCCTAGGGCCCTCGTTGGGCAAAAAAATTATGAAAAACTGAGACTTACCGGCGGCGGAGCTCTCGGGTGCGGCGGCTTCTCCGGTGCGAGTCCCGGTTTGATGTTCTACTCCGGTCAACTTGTAGAGAAAAGGACTGTGATCACAGTGGTGTAAAAATTGCATTGAATAGGAACCGAAAAAGGTCCTCATCGGAGGCAAAAACTGAGGGAAGCCGCAGCGGTGTCGCTGGACTTCGGCAGTATTTTTTGGCCGATTGGCCGGTGGTTTGGCTTTGATTTGGCCATAGGCGGATTCAGCATCGAAAAACGAGCCAAGGGGAGAAAATTTACCTCGTTTGGCGATCGAAAAATCCTCCGGTGCGGCGGCGGGTGGCGGCGGCCGGCTCCTCCGGCGACTGGTTCTTCTTCTCTGGCGAGGGTACTGGCGGCTAGGGTTTGGGGTCGGGTGTGGATGAGGTTATTTATAACCTTCCCATTTTAATCTCAGCCGTCCATCACGATTTAATATGAACCGTCCAATCGCGATTAAAATGGGATAAATCTGGGCCGTCCATCACGATTTAATATGGACCGTCCGATCACGA